CATTACTGATTAAGTCAGAGAATAAGAAATTGTACTCAAATGTAAGAACCACACGAAAAGTATTATCGTTATATGACCGCATGTATAGTTGTTTAATTGAATATGATTTCTGATTCTCTGACTCGAGGCGGGAAATAATCGGAAACTGGTAATGGTAGTTTTCCTCCTTCTATCTTTAACTTAATCAATAATCAAATTGATATTAGCAGCGAAAGAAGTACCGGAAAAAACTTGATTTTTCACAAAAGTCTGCAACAAATCTGCTTGTCAAAAAAAAAGGTTGGAAATGCATCAGTATCAGTATTACTGACAACATATGCCTAGTAGTTGTTTTTCAATGAAATGTTTTATTCATTTTTTCTATTTATTTACAGGTTGTTTATCACCTATAGGTTCAATTACTTCATCTAATCGAGGATCTGTATTTAATAGTCAAACATTGATCAATACTCGAGTTCCATCAACAAGTAATAGAACTGATGAAGTGATTCGTGTAATTAAAAAACCTACTCCACCCATGACAACAACAGGAGGACTTTATGAAGATGATGATGATGAAGATGAATCAGTTGAACGTATTTCATATAAATCTATACCAGAAAGACCAATGAATACTCCAATACACTTACCTACAATTCCTATGTCACAACAAAAAGTTTATAAATATTTTAGAATTTAATTGATATTTCATTGATTTGATTGTTTAGAGCACAAAACCAACCTATATAAATAGAAAACCAACACCTAATTTTGAAAATCAATCAAATATAATTGAGAGTCGACGTTGGTTTGATCAACCACTTGGTGATCAAAATTTACTTCCTGTACATGATGGTCGATATGGTCTTATTGCCGGTACATCCACTAATGAGTATATATTAAACAGTCAATTACCTGATAATGATTATGTAGAACACAATCCACGTGTATGTATAACTTTATTTCTAAATTGTCCATTTAATCATAGAAGAAACTAATAGTTGAGATATTAATGGATGATTAGAGTATTGATCGTATTCGAATGGTATCATTCTTAAAGAAAATTTTTTTTCTTATACAAACCAATGTGTATAATATTTCTTATTATTTATTAACAAATAATTGAAAAATAATTTCTTTTTTTTTCTATTTAGAGGAATAGAAGTAATTGCACAATATCATAACTGATGAATTTTTTGTTTTGACTCAAGAATATTAAATAACATTCAATTTGTATTTTTATTTGTTTCCAACCAAATTTTTTTTTTTTTTGAAACAAATAAACTTAATATTTATAATAATCTCGAAATATAACTTACACAATAAGCAAATTTTAAAATCTATTTGTAGAAGGATTCTACACAGAAAAAAATATTTCGAATCTTTGATCGTACAAAAGAAAACATATTTTACCATACAACAAACACATCTTTTGAAATCTTTGTATGTTATTATCTAACGGATTATATTTATAAATATATGTGCCTTAGGCAAAATTAAGCTTGTCGCTAATTTCGCACCGAGTATGCATAACGGGCTTAGTCCGTATCGCATCTAGTATTTTCTAGGGAGAATCGGATTTTCAAGAAACAGAAACTTGTAAAGAATAAAAACCAAAGAAAAAGATATTCAATATCATTCGAACCTACAAAATCAGTACCTATTATAAAAGATCTTATATTATTGTATCGGAAAGATGCTTTATTACACGCATCATGGTAACATTTTTATTTTCATTGTAAATTCTTGTGGAAGCTATTAAAGAAAAAAAATACAATTACTCACAGATCATTCTAACAGAATATCATTAAACTCACGCATACCGTTTCTTTATTTGCTTCTTTTTCTCTTTTGTTCAAAATATTTTTCGTTCGGTGAAATTAATTTCTAAAAACTTTCACTGTTCATCTCTTATTATAAAAGATTATTCACTAAAAAAAAATAATTTATCTCATCAAGTAATAGAGCAATTCCTTCTTTTTTTTGCATTCTCTTTGTTTTTCTTATATTTAATCTTGTTGAACATATTGAAAACATAACATCCGAAATTATCATAATCTCTCCGTCTTCTTCAATTTATTTCAATTGAAATAGCATCGAAATCGATTTCCATAACTGTTTCTAATTTGAATACTAGCTGCTTCGTGGCTTCTCAAGTATGATCTTAGTTTTCTCGCAATAACAATCATTTTATTTTCCTTCCGAATTCGGAGTGAATATCCTGCTCAAATGACTTTTTAGATATAATGAGTCTATCTAAATCTTCACGCTTTACCCTCTCCTTTGGTCATTTGAGTGAAGATTTGTAGAACGATTGAAGAAAATACATGAAAAATGAAATTGAAAAACTTTGAAAAAAGTCTTGTAAGGAACACTATAAACTATCAATTAATAAAGAGTTTTTTTTTAAATAAAATATTGCCCTACCAATAGAGAAGAAGATGCACGATGGGAACGTACTGTGTAATATACAACGACGATTATTACTACTCCTGATATCAATATCATCGGAAAGTTTTAGAAAAGCTATGTAGATAAGAGATTCTAAAATACAGAATAATCACTCGAGCACTTCTAGAAAATCAAACCCATAGTGTTTCAGCGCCTATAAACAGGGTAAAAAATTTGCTTTCACCATGTGTAACGATAGAGTGAATAATTTTCTACAAAATCAGACGTCTTCAAGCTCTTCTACGACGCTTCTTAGCCAAACTACATCAGATTTATGAAAGACCATCAGCAACATTTTTTTTCAACTCGTTCTTATCCTAATAGTTGTGAGTGGATGTAGGTGCTAGTATGCATTTTATTTTGATTCACCCACACCCACACCCTGTCAAATCCACATGTTAACCATAGTCAGTTAATATAGATAACAATCCATAATCTATAAGAAGAAAACCATTAATTTTACTTTGTAACTCAATTGAAAATATACCTTATTTTTTTATTAATTCTTGTGAAGTAGAAACATCCGAACCATCTGATCCAAGTTGTTTTTCATTTGCTAATGCCGCTTTCAAATCATTAATCTTTTGATTTAACGTTTTGACCATATTTTCGAATTTAAAAATTGTTTTCTCTATATCTACAACACGTCTTGTAAGATCAGCATTCGAACGTCGAAGATCATCAATTTTATTATTCAAATATAATATAAGTGTAACTTGAGAGAACCGAGTTTTATTTCAATATGTGATGAAAAATGCAGTCATAATGAAAATTTCTTTTTTTCTTTTTATATTTTTTCTATTATTTAATTATAAAATTAATAGAATTTTCGACCATTGACTGTTAGTAACAAGCTGGTGAATGCGGTCATCATCAGTATAATATCGGAATACATCAATAACTGTCTAGTCCATAAAGATAAATCCATATCTAAATATATAATTTAAATCCATAATCTAATTCATAAACTAATTCATAAACCAAAAACTTAAAACCAAAAGAAGAACTCAAGTGAATTGAACTGCTATATAATAAGAAAAAAGAAAAAAATTTTCATTATGACTGCATTTCTCTTTATATATTGAAATTAAACTCGTGTTCTCTCAAGTTATACTTATATTATATTTGATGTTTCATATAGCAGTTCAATTCACTTGAGTTCTTCTTTTGGTTTTAAGATTTTGGTTTATGAATTAGTTTATGAATTTACTCATGAATTGTGGAATATGTATTTTTCTTTATGAACTAGACAGTTATTGATGTATTTCGATATTATACTGATGACGACTGCATTCACCAGCTTGTTACTAACAGTCAATGATCGAAAATTCTATTAATTTTATAATTAAATGATAGAAAAAATATAAAAAGAAAAAAAGAAATTTTCATTATGACTACATTTTTCTTCATTTATTATTCAAAGTCACAATTGTTTGCGCCATACTTCCAGGGTGCGGGTGGGTGTGGCTCTTCTCTTTAACTACACCCACACCCTACTACACTAGGATGAGAAGAAAAAAAAGATAGAGAGCTATTGCACGTACCTAAAATAACAAAGAAAAAGATGGTATGTTTTTTTTCAACAAATAAATCTTTAATTACAATGATAAATCTGACGATGATGAGGATGAAAGTTCATGAAAATGTCTAAGCCATTATTTATTGAGTTGGTTGAGCAGCTTGACGACGTCGTTCTTGTTCTAAATGTAAAGATGGACACATTGTGACCGTGGTATAATTCAGCAAAGTCACTCACCTTGTCGAAGATGTTGTAAAAATTCATTGATAAGCCACCGTTGGAAAATATCATCGGCCAGTTCCTTCATTTCTTGATCATTTAACTGATTCTGATCGAAAAGTTGTTCACGATTTTGAATAGATTGATTAAGACGATTGATTTCTGCTTCATAACTAGTAATCTAAATAATAAATAGATGAATATCTCAAAGTACAATACATGCAATATGAGAACGAGATAGTGAATAACATTTAATCAATCATGCAGCAATTTCCTTATCGAAATGAAAGTGTACATTGGAGAATCGAAAGCAAGACCTATTGCTAACCTATAGCTTACCAAGTCAACGGCCATTTTTTTTCGAAATAACACAATGTAATAAATGTATGAATAGACAGACATTCTGAATCTTTTATATATGTTTATTCTCCTTGGTCATCCAATCCATTTCTTACTATACTCAATGGTCAAATAGACGGAATAGAGAGAACGAAAAAAAGGAAAAAAATCTCTACGGGCGAACATTGTTCAAACTGCACTCGATCTGTGGAGCGAATAGAAAGAAAACACTGGTTCAATACACGCGAAGGTCACGGGAGAAAAATATCCGCAAGTTCATGCAAATTGTTTTTGACAGAGTGAGTTTTTGAATTTAGTGAACATGAGCTGAATGAAATAGAAAGAGAATGCATACCCTATTTTGTCTGGAAAAAAAAACGAGAAAAACAAGCAGAAGCATATATAAAATGTACGAGAAATATTTTGCTTAATATCGGACTTACAATTGCATGTCGGTAGTATGTGAAATGTTGTCACTTGACATGTTCAGATGGAAAAAAAACAAGACGAAGATCAGCACGACAATCAGAGTGTGAGTGTGACTGTGTGTATACAGAAAATGAAAAACTCACACCCACACCCGCACCCTATAATAACAATGTTAATACGAAACCAATCATTTTCCAACACCAAACCAAATGTCGTATATTGATTAAATGTGAAGCAATTCGAACGAACGCAATAAATTAGGTTGATATTTCATGCTTCTGAAAATAATGATTGAAATGTTTATAAGTTGGTAGTAATATAGTTTATTTTTTTACAAAAACTACAGCAATTTCTCGACCGTTGAGCTATAAATGGTTGCGAATGATCAAAATCAAACAATAAATATTATTTTCGACCAATTTCTTGAAAAAATTAGAAAGATATGAACAACTCTTTTTTTTACAGAAAAGAAAAGAATTGTAATTGTGACGATTTTTTTCACGTTTTCTCAAGCATACAAAGAAGTCAGTATGGTAGCGCACATACAAAAGAAAAAATCACCAGTAAAAGTTTCAACCAACTTTCAAATGCCTTTTCTCTATTGTTCGTTTCTTTCTTCTTTTTCAGTTGACTTTGTAACGATAGACAAAAAAGCGCAGTGCAAAGTACGCAACCGGAGAAGAATAGGAAGGGAGAATAAAACAACGACCATTTGTCTCTCTACTCGCTCTTCTTCTTTCCACTATGGTATCTATCTAGTCGTCACATAGAGACACAGTATACAGCTAGTATACCATATCAATCATATACAGTTTTTGTTGAGTCCGTTTTTTTCCACTCTAACCGTATAGGGTATGATAGATGCTTTATCCATATAAAACAGGTGTATTTTTTCCCATAATCAATGCAGTCTTTGTTAGGGTAGATATGAAATGAGAGCCGTCGACATATCTCTTAAACAAGCAACCAAACACGAACGCACGAAGTGACAAAAAACAACAATGACTGCTTCGATGAAATTTACTCTTCTTCTCGTTAGCATCTACGGCACGATAATCGTCGATGCAGCCGACTGTGGTGGATCTAAACAATCAGTTCAAGAATGGGACATGTGGGCTGTCCGCGAACTGATGTGCACCAGTGAATGCAATCGCCAGTATTTTTGTGAATTAACAGGACAGGAGGGAATGCGTGTCGTTCGTTTTGGTCATACAGGTCGTCATTGTTGGGTAAGCCAAGTTGTTTTAGAATAATAAATTATATTATTGATTCCACAATCATTCCGACAGTCTATTCAAACTATGTACAATATTACTTTTGAAAACAACACTACAAATATTGACAAGAAGGGTCTTTTATTATCTCCAACCGCTTGTGAAACTCGAGTGCTCTTTCAGACGTACTGCATCATCCACGCTGAATAGTTTCCATTTTTCATGACTTTGAACCGAAAACTACATGATGGCATCGATCAATACGGTCGAGATCACAACGTCCTTCAGATATTTGATATCAAAATAGTTGATAAAATCACAGACGTCTCCTCTTGATAGTTGCTTAAAACAGTTAGACGTGATAAGATTCTCAGTAGATTATGTATCGTCATGCGACTGCGTCTCAGTAACATGATTTATACAATTAAATACGAACCTATCAATGTATACTTTATGTTTCTAGGATGCTCTAGAAAACATCATTATGCAATGCTTTCACAATAAACGCTCGCAATTTGGCATGTGGAACTATGACGGCGAGAATTATCAAGTAAGTCCATCTTTATCATATCTAGAAAGACATACCACGTTTTCTTCTTCTTTCTTTTAAGATTCACGCATAAACTTACTTGTAACAATTTGAAGTACTTTTCTAGATAAATAAATATATCTTAGTCTTACTGATTTGTATTCAAAGTTTGGCATTCGAGCTAATTATTTTTTTGTGCTTAGATACATCTGATTGTGACGAGTGCATTGTACCAAACAACAATTCAGATGATAAAACATCTGTATAAATAAAATGAAATCGAAAAATACCAGCGTCAAAAACCGTGGTAAAAATCAAATTTTAAAGGAGTTTGTCGTGATTAAAAAACGGTTAAAATGACACGATTTGAACTAAATTTGAATCCGATTTCGAATCATAAAAAGAATCAATTAATAGAGATTGGCTTGCAAAAATCAATTTAGAACAATTTTTTTTACGATTTTAAATCGGATTCAAATCCGAGTAAAATCATGCCGCTTGAATTGATATTAAATCGTAAAAAACGCGATTAGAATCTGGTTTTTATCTAAGGAAGAAGCAACCAATTTTTTTGACTTTCTATCGGTATTAAACAAGTAACGCTCGCCGCTACGACTCGCTTCACCCTCGACTGAATTCATTCTATTCACTTTGACAAATATTATCAGATAAATCGTCAGTTTGTGTGATGCTATAGCCAACACCATACAAACAAGTCTTTCAACTTTTGCAATTTGGAAATAGCAACACTGGTAATGTCGAGTTTGGAATATGTAGTATTCGCGCGATATTCTCATCATAGATTACATTTCTTTGGCTTTTATGAGAAATTGGTACGATTTTGAATTAGTCGTCTTCACCACAACAATTGCCTTGGTTCTTTCGAAAAATACTCTATATTTCATTCAAAACTTTACGCAAGAAAAGACGTGTCTACCTTGTAAATGAATGGCGAGTCGCTCATCAACGTCTCTCGAGGGCGCCAGTTGTAACTGACCGATCTCAGATTCTATCTACTTGGTCGAGCTCTTTTGAAAACTACTGTCCAATCTCTAGAAAGCTTCGCGAAAGAAAGGCTCATATCAATCTTGGAAACAAACGGCGAGTCATTCGTCGGCGCCATTCGTGACTTGTCAGCCCCATACCCTATCTTCTTTCCCAACTAATCGTTAAGTTGTGTTACGATTCAATTAAATTGGTTTCCTCTTAACGAATGAATCCATCTATCTGGTCGAAAATCAACTTCTTTTTATTTTCTAAACGATCACTGCAAATGGACCATCGATCTGTATAAAACTCATGAGGACGAAAGGTGCTTTTCGAACAAGATTGCCTATCACACTTTTTTCACTATAAAATCATCACATTTTCGATCAATCCGCGATCTCTTTTACGAAGTAGATTCTCAAGAGCATTTACATATTTTATAGTGAAAAAAGTGTCCTTAAGGTACATTTTGGCATCATTTGAGTTCAGATTATTGTGAAACTTGAGGAAAATTACACCTAGAAAAAAGACTTAATCGATCATTCTCTATGAACAAACATTTTTCGTCCTAATGAATTCTATACAGATCGATGACTCAAGTATGGCTCTTTCAAATGGGAAAATTGCAGCTTTCTATCTTGTTCCTATTAAAAGTTATTTGAAAAATGGCAAACTGCCTTTTATTTTGGATCGGATAATACATGAGAGTAGGTGAATCATCATTTGTATAAATAGAAAAACATTAGTGAAGCAGTGCATGTATAATATCATAGTTAGTGTCCAGAAGATCTTTGCATACGAATAGATAACACTCAAAAACAACATAGGAATGAGAAAATAATAATATGAAGATATTTCTCCACATCATATGCACCTCACAATAGTATGAAGTCATCGAAAAAATAGTTATGTTTTTCATTTTTGTCTAATGGGGATAAACATATTGTATTTTTATAGCTTATGAAAGTCAGAAGGTAGAAATGACACTTTAAAAACCTATTTGCTAACGTTTTTACTATGAATATGAGCTATGAACCATGGTTCATCTTTAGTGAAATAGTTAGTCTATTTCGCCGAAATACGAAGAGATATTCAAATCTTTTCTTACCCGATGACTTACGAGATACCTTGTATATAAAAAAAAATAACGTTAATCATTTTCTTATTCATCGTTCAATCTCAAGGTAACTCAAATAAGATAACGTTCGAAGTAGGTTTTTTTTCTTTGCTTATTCATTTTCCCTAGAGAAAAAAAGTTGATTTTATAATCTGAATTTTTCTATATTTCAATTTCATCGAAAAAAACTTCTCTAGTGTTATAAAGTTGAATTAAAAAAAAAAGTACGTGAAGACTAAAGATGCAGAAGAGATATATGACCATTGAAAGACATGTTTGCTCATTTTATTCGAAACTTTTGATTTGTCAATCTCATTCGCTCATCATCGATTTATACTCATTTTATATTCTTTCCAGTATCGAATACACAATGAATCATTTGCATCTCGACAGATGTTTCATATCTGAAAGAAGAACGTTTGCAAGTAGTATCGACTAAAGAATGAAACAAGAAAAAAAGCAGTGTGTTATATTATTACATCATGAACGAGCAATAAGAAATCAGTTATCTCACATGATATTTTTTATTATACAATGTCTTTTTGAGTTGAATAGATCGGTTGCCTATTGAATTACTTCACGATATTTTTGATTATCTTTGAGTGTATGATATCTACTATTCATTTTCTAATTAGCCTAAGTGATTACCTGGATTCTATATTAGCTGGCTATTGTCACTATTTACTCCACTTTCGTTCTGTTCTTAACTCGAAATTTGATCTTCTTTGCCAACATATATGATCACATCAAGTCATTTCTATTATATTGTCCCATGACAATGATACATCAAATCAATCAAACCTGTTCTTTTCTCATTTTAAACTCGAACAATTCATTCATCTTCAATCATTCGATATGACTACGATTAGTGATAATAAACACAGACATACACTGCTATGTATAAATTAATTCCTTGACTGAATCGACTAGCACTACCCGATGCTTATAATTTCGTTTTGGTTTCATTGCCTCGTCTACGTCATTTAACTCTTCAAAGTTTCTTTTGCTAGGGCTTATCATTTATATTGAATCAAATTCCTAATCTTTATTCACTTGATGTCAAACTTTCATATGATAATTATCCAAAGTGAACGGATACCATATCATTATTGCCCCATCTAAGATGGCTCATCCTAATCATTCATGGTGCGTATAATTATTTGAAAATTGTATATATCTTCTTTGTTTTTTAAAATTAAGGTAAAAAAAAGACTATGATCCACGTAGAATAATTTTTATCTAAAATACGTAATCTATATTGTTTCGAACTTATTGCACAAGGTTATCTGGATCTTATTGATGACCAAAAATGGGAATTACTTGTTTCACATTTGACTATATTCAACTTTCGATTGCATCTTCTATGTTCATCACCACATTTTTCCGAAGAAAATATTCTTGATTCATTTTGTTCACTATTTTGACTTGAACAAAAACGCTGATTTGTTGCCTATGATGGTCCATATTCGCGAAATATCTTTATGGTACCTCGTTTTACATCAAATATTTTCGTATGTCCGAATATTTATTGGCCACCAATATGCACATCATCCAATTTCTGTTTTGATAAATATATCTATTAAGTTGATTTGTCATTATTTAATCCAATTATTTAACGCTTTATCAATGTCACATCACTCGTATTCAATATAGAACAAACCGACACCAATCTTATACCGACTTTATTTTTCGATTTCATTGAACATATGCCTCGCTTATGTTCACTTTCGCATCAAGATCTCTCTCTATTAGCTGGCTTATCACATGATATCGCCTTCAAAGCGATACGAACTTTACACGTACGAAACAATTTTGAAAAATTTGAAAGTGAAATCCACTATCGATTGGACCTAAATCGATTATGTAGTTTTATTAATTGATCAATTGAACTATCTATCAATTGCACTATTTCAATTATATTATCGTTCGTCATCACTGACGCGTTTCTCATCTCAAAGTTTTTGCTCTAAAGATATTTCATCATATGTGAGGGTGAAATTAGATAGTTTCATGTTTTATGCGACAGTTCAATGATATCTGTGAGAATAATAAATTATAATTGAGTACGAAAAACTAATCAATCTTTATCGAGATGATAATTTTTAATTTCACTGAGCGAAGATCACTCGAGTTTCTGAATAGCGTTTTAAATTTTATAGTAATAATCTCCTTATCAATAAAAAGAAAAATACAAACACAATCGTATAAAAATTGTCTTCGAAGAATTACTTTTATTTTCGAAGAAATTTTTGTACGTTGGAAATTTATTTTTATCTTATATTTATTCTGCTTCAGTAGGATTCTAATTCGTCCTCAAATATATCATTAATATATATTTTCTCATTGTGTGTGCTTTTCTATTCTTTGCTTGTCATTGAATATTTTGATTTTAATTATCTGACAATCGAAATTCGTTCAAATGGTATTCGTCACTAACATATTGTTTGCGATAGATCATATTGATGAAATATTTTTGTTTATATGTTGAAATATCCGATACGTCAAAATGTTTTTAGTCTTGCACATTTTGCATATAAAAAATATACACCAGCTTCAATGCTTTGACTACCTGTAAATTTTATCATGTCAAATAAGACTTGAAAAAAACTCAATCTTATATCAATATCTATACAAAAATCAAATTTTTTTCTACATAAGATGTATTGATTTCAATCGTTCATTCTCCAAAAAATTAGCTTTAGGACAGCAAAATTATTTTTCGTTTCAACTTAGAAGAAGAATGAATATTTTTGAATGAGTCTTGATAGAAACTAGAGAGTTTCACATTTGAGAACAGGAGTTAAAATTGTATTTAATTATATATTAGCACTATGTGAGAATCGCATGAGCCATTTTCTAATACTCAATTATCGTAATATTCTGCTGCACAATTAATTTTTTTCGGCAGAATAAGAGATAGAAATAAATATTTTTGTAAACTTTTTACTTTTACAACTAAAAAATGAAAAGATAAATAAAATTGAATCGTC